CGCCACGCCAGCGTGCACTCGGGCGCGCGCCCGCACGCCTGCCGCGTGTGCGCGCCTCGCTGCTGCGCCACGAGCTCGTGCACCGCGGTCAGTGACCCGCACACGTACACTTGCACGTACACGTACACGTACACGCACACACATGCTGGCGCGCCACGCCAGCGTGCACTCGGGCGCGCGCCCGCACGCCTGCCGCGTGTGCGCGCGCGCCTTCGCGCAGCGCGCCTCGCTGCTGCGCCACGAGCTCGTGCACCGCGGTCAGTGACCCGCACACGTACACTTGCACGTACACGTACACGTACACGCACACACATGCTGGCGCGCCACGCCAGCGTGCACTCGGGCGCGCGCCCGCACGCCTGCCGCGTGTGCGCGCGCGCCTTCGCGCAGCGCGCCTCGCTGCTGCGCCACGAGCTCGTGCACCGCGGTCAGTGACCCGCACACGTACACTTGCACGTACACGTACACGTACACGTACACGCACACACATGCTGGCGCGCCACGCCAGCGTGCACTCGGGCGCGCGCCCGCACGCCTGCCGCGTGTGCGCGCGCGCCTTCGCGCAGCGCGCCTCGCTGCTGCGCCACGAGCTCGTGCACCGCGGTCAGTGACCCGCACACGTACACTTGCACGTACACGTACACGTACACGTACACGCACACACATGCTGGCGCGCCACGCCAGCGTGCACTCGGGCGCGCGCCCGCACGCCTGCCGCGTGTGCGCGCGCGCCTTCGCGCAGCGCGCCTGGCTGCTGCGCCACGAGCTCGTGCACCGCGGTCAGTGACCCGCACACGTACACTTGCACGTACACGTACACGCACACACATGCTGGCGCGCCACGCCAGCGTGCACTCGGGCGCGCGCCCGCACGCCTGCCGCGTGTGCGCGCGCGCCTTCGCGCAGCGCGCCTCGCTGCTGCGCCACGAGCTCGTGCACCGCGGTCAGTGACCCGCACACGTACACTTGCACGTACACGTACACGTACACGTACACGCACACACATGCTGGCGCGCCACGCCAGCGTGCACTCGGGCGCGCGCCCGCACGCCTGCCGCGTGTGCGCGCGCGCCTTCGCGCAGCGCGCCTCGCTGCTGCGCCACGAGCTCGTGCACCGCGGTCAGTGACCCGCACACGTACACTTGCACGTACACGTACACGCACACACATGCTGGCGCGCCACGCCAGCGTGCACTCGGGCGCGCGCCCGCACGCCTGCCGCGTGTGCGCGCGCGCCTTCGCGCAGCGCGCCTCGCTGCTGCGCCACGAGCTCGTGCACCGCGGTCAGTGACCCGCACACGTACACTTGCACGTACACGTACACGTACACGTACACGCACACACATGCTGGCGCGCCACGCCAGCGTGCACTCGGGCGCGCGCCCGCACGCCTGCCGCGTGTGCGCGCGCGCCTTCGCGCAGCGCGCCTCGCTGCTGCGCCACGAGCTCGTGCACCGCGGTCAGTGACCCGCACACGTACACTTGTACGTACACGTACACGTACACGTACACGCACACACATGCTGGCGCGCCACGCCAGCGTGCACTCGGGCGCGCGCCCGCACGCCTGCCGTGTGTGCGCGCGCGCCTTCGCGCAGCGCGCCTCGCTGCTGCGCCACGAGCTCGTGCACCGCGGTCAGTGACCCGCACACGTACACTTGCACGTACACGTACACGTACACGTACACGCACACACATGCTGGCGCGCCACGCCAGCGTGCACTCGGGCGCGCGCCCGCACGCCTGCCGCGTGTGCGCGCGCGCCTTCGCGCAGCGCGCCTCGCTGCTGCGCCACGAGCTCGTGCACCGCGGTCAGTGACCCGCACACGTACACTTGCACGTACACGTACACGTACACGCACACACATGCTGGCGCGCCACGCTGCTGCGCCACGAGCTCGTGCACCGCGGTCAGTGACCCGCACTCGTACACTTGCACGTACACGTACACGTACACGCACACACATGCTGGCGCGCCACGCCAGCGTGCACTCGGGCGCGCGCCCGCACGCCTGCCGCGTGTGCGCGCGCGCCTTCGCGCAGCGCGCCTCGCTGCTGCGCCACGAGCTCGTGCACCGCGGTCAGTGACCCGCACACGTACACTTGCACGTACACGTACACGTACACGTACACGCACACACATGCTGGCGCGCCACGCCAGCGTGCACTCGGGCGCGCGCCCGCACGCCTGCCGCGTGTGCGCGCGCGCCTTCGCGCAGCGCGCCTCGCTGCTGCGCCACGAGCTCGTGCACCGCGGTCAGTGACCCGCACACGTACACTTGCACGTACACGTACACGTACACGCACACACATGCTGGCGCGCCACGCTGCTGCGCCACGAGCTCGTGCACCGCGGTCAGTGACCCGCACTCGTACACTTGCACGTACACGTACACGTACACGCACACACATGCTGGCGCGCCACGCCAGCGTGCACTCGGGCGCGCGCCCGCACGCCTGCCGCGTGTGCGCGCGCGCCTTCGCGCAGCGCGCCTCGCTGCTGCGCCACGAGCTCGTGCACCGCGGTCAGTGACCCGCACACGTACACTTGCACGTACACGTACACGTACACGCACACACATGCTGGCGCGCCACGCCAGCGTGCACTCGGGCGCGCGCCCGCACGCCTGCCGCGTGTGCGCGCGCGCCTTCGCGCAGCGCGCCTCGCTGCTGCGCCACGAGCTCGTGCACCGCGGTCAGTGACCCGCACACGTACACTTGCACGTACACGTACACGTACACGCACACACATGCTGGCGCGCCACGCTGCTGCGCCACGAGCTCGTGCACCGCGGTCAGTGACCCGCACTCGTACACTTGCACGTACACGTACACGTACACGCACACACATGCTGGCGCGCCACGCCAGCGTGCACTCGGGCGCGCGCCCGCACGCCTGCCGCGTGTGCGCGCCTCGCTGCTGCGCCACGAGCTCGTGCACCGCGGTCAGTGACCCGCACACGTACACGTTCACACATGCACCTACACGTTCGCACTAATACGCACACACGTTTACGCATATACGTATATGTCCACACTAACATGCACACATGTACACTTACACATGCTGTTGGAAGGACCTAGGAATAAAAAAAGCTTTTACTCCCAATCCCGAAAGTTATCTTGATTTATTTCACCATTCTTAAAATTATTGCACTTAATATGGGTAGGATCTGCACTGTCTTGATTACCTCAGAAACTACGCTATTTAAACAAAATAAAATAATCGAGTCAGCACTTTTATTTAACCAGGGTTGGACAAAACATTAAACGCACGTACACACACATTACTATTAGCAAAAAAATCATCCCAAGCCCATACGTAATCAGTACGAGTGTCGGTGTTGGTACGGCACTTACCAATTTGTTAATTGACACGTTCTTGACACAATAAAAAATTACAGCTTATTTACGTTCCACTTCTAAGCACAGACCTATTCTCATTTCTAAGAGGGTTTTAGTGTAAGAAAGTGTCAAACGTGCTGGCAAAATACGTATTGGCGAACTTTATATTTATTCCAAATATTTATTTTTAAATTTCTTAGACATGGAAGGTTCCTTAAGTTATTTTTCTCCACCATTTAAAATTAAAATTAATAAGTGTCAAAATTGTTAATGTCGGTGAGGAACGAGCCCGGGGTGCTCGCGTGCTATAAAGCTTATAGCGAGCGCTTAGTCCCTGTCTACTTATGAACAAAATACACAAATAAAAAAATGGAAATCGACACAATAAATCACTAACCTTAAATTTCAAAAACAGTTGCTTATTGCCTAGGAGTACGGATGAATTTAGAAAAGTACACTCCAGTTGGCATATTTTAAAAGGCGTAAGTGTAAATGCGCTTTTTAGCTTTTACAGCAATTTTGCTGTTTATGAACTAGTTATAAATAAAGAATCGAAGAGTGATGAGACGTTGTGGTTTTCATTTTAACGAAATACAAATAAAAATGCATCTTAAGTACTACTATCCCATATTGACAATTTCGATCTATATTTATATAATATCCGAGCGCCTGAATCTAGGGATTAAAAATATTTATTGGCCGCTGATTCATAGCCGGCTCGAAGGACCAAATGTATAAATTGCACCGTAAATTTATTAATAAGTGGTTTTTATTGGAAAACTGTAACATTGCTTAAATGAATGAAATACGACTTGCAACATACAACGCACGTACCCTGAGGACTGATGAGAAGATCCTGGAGCTGGAAGAACAGATAGACAAGTTACGCTGGCATATTATAGGATTATCCGAGGTCCGAAGAGAGGGGGAGAACACTGTAATCCTCGAATCCGGCAACTTGTTCTATCACCGGAAGGGCGACCAGCTGTTTCAAGGAGGTGTCGGATTTATCGTCCACAAGTCTCTCGTTAATAACATATAGATTGTGAGTATGTCGACGAGGATTTTTAGGACCTTATACTCAGAATCACCATACGGTATCGTTGAACGTCATACAGGTTTACGCACCAACTTCGGCACATCCCGCTGAGGAGATGGAGGAAATGTATGACGATATCTCTAAAGCCATGCATTACTTCAAAACCCACTTTACGGTGGGGGACTTCAATACAAAACTAGGCACAAGAGAGAACGGTAAGCTGAAGGTAGGGAAATTCGGAATAGGGTAACGGAACCCCAATGGTCAGCAGTTGACCGACTTCACGGAGAAAGAGGGACTCTTTTTTTCCAGACGCGACCCCACAGGAAATGGACCTGGTCGCGCCCCGACGGTTCGACAAAAAATGAGATTGACTTATTATGATGACCAGACGACAACTGTTCAGTAATGGCTCTGTGATCGCGAGGATGAAAACTGGTAGCGACCACCGAATGGTTAGAGACACACTGAATCTAAACCTTAAGTTGGAGAGGTCTCGTATAATGAAGTCAACGCTCCGTCCCCCTCGTGCTCTGTTCCAAAGTCCCGAAACCTTTCAGCTCGAGTTACAAAACCGTTTTCAGTGCCTAGAAGACTGCAATGAAGTGGACGATATGAATAACAAGCTCGTGGAAACTGTCCATGCGGTCGGAGCTAAGTTCTGCAAGACCCGCCGCAGAAGAACACTAACTACAATAACTTCCCGGTCACACTCTTAATCTTATGGCTGTTAGACGGGAAATGAGGTTGCCGTTTTCAACAGATTTGACAGCAGACAGGCAACTGAATAGACAGATCTCCAAATCCATGCGGCGAGACTCACGCAACTTCAATACAGCTTGTATTAAAGAAGCGATCGAGCAGAACCAAGGCTCCAAAGTCTTTGCCAGAGATCGGTCTGCGAGAAAGAGCCAACTATCAAAGAAAACCAAGTGTGGCAGCATCGTTTCCGGGACACCTGAGATTTTGAGTGAGATTGAGAGGTTTTATGGGCAGCTGTACACGTCATCGTTGGAGCCACACGCAACTGTGAGTAACGATCCAAGAGCAAGTTTTATCCGACACTATTCCGATAATATCCCGGACATCAGTCTGAGCGAGATTAGATGGCTCTCGAGCACCTTAAAAGCGGCAAGGCCCTAGACGAGGATGGAATTACAATGGAGCTTCTGAAATCGGGTAGAAAACTGGTACTTGAATTCCTTCAGAAGCTCTTTAATTCCGTGTTCCATGGTGGCACTACTCCGGAAGCGTGGTGCTCAAGTGTGGTGGTCTTGTTCTTCAAGAAAGGTGACAACGCTCTCTTGAAAAACTACAGACCGATTTCTCTTCTGAGCTGCGTCTACGTGCTGTTTTCGAGAATCATTACGAATCGTCTCGCACGCAGACTTACGACTCCAGCCTCCCGAACTAACCGGTTTTATAAAAGGCTTTAGTACCATAGACCACATACATACCCTTCGGCAAATTGTACAGAAGACCGAAGAGTACACTTTGCCTTGTAGATATGGCCTATGAGAAAGCCAGCGGTGCCGAGTTGATTGTCGGTATATTGAAGTGCTGAAGTGTTTGTACAGTAGGGCTACGATGGCTATCCGAGTACATAACCAGTGTACGAAACCTATCCAACTACAGAGAGGTGTAAGACAGGGTGAAGTTATATCCCCTTTTCACCGCTGCATTGGAAGACGTTTTCAAGCTGGAAAGGATACAGTATTAACATCAATAGCGAGTACATCACTCATCTTCGATTTGCCGACGATGTAGCCCTTATGGCAGAATCGCAGGAGGACCTAAGCACTATGCTCAATGATTTCAATAGTGTCTCCCAATGGATAGGTCTTAAGATGAACATGGACAAAACAAAGATCATGTATAATGTCCATGTCACACCTATGCCGGTAGTTGTTGCACTAAGCTCTAAGTTGTTGATGAGTACGTTTACTTGGGACAAATAGTTCGACTAGAAAAGTCCAACTTCGAAAGAGAGGTAAAAAGAGCAAGAGGCAGCGTTCTGGAAATTACGACACATCTTCTCGTTAGGTATACCTTAAAACCTGACAACGAGATTGTACAACCAGTGTGTGTTACCAATGATGACTTATGGGTCTGAGACGTGGTCCTTTACTGCTGGCCGTATGAGGACGCTCAGCGAGCTATGGAGAGGACTATGCTTGGGGTTTCTTTGCGTGATAAATTTAGGAATGAGAATATCCGGATTATATCAGGATAGCCCAACGGATTGGTAATCTGAAGTGAAAATGGGCCGGCCATATAGCTCGAAGAACCGACAACCGATGCGAAAAAAGGTTCTCAAGTGGCAGCCTCGTACCGGTTGGCGAAGTGTAAGGCGTTCCCCCACTGATGGTGTGACGACCTGGTAAGACATGCAGGAAGTCGATGGATGCAGGTAGCTCAGTACCGTGCTTTGTGGCTTCCTTGGGGGAGGCCTATATTCAGCAGTGGACTTGTGAAGGGCTGTAATGATGATGATGGTAATGAGCACAAATTGTACACAGGCGCAACTAGGACGTGAACTAATTGATGTGGGGACGACGGAAAACAATTTTACTGATTTTATACGTAACCGTGCCCATAACATCCTGTCGGTGTTGTGTTGTAAGATGCAACAATAGAAATAGACAGGAAATGGACAACAGCATCTTCTTGAATACAACTCTAACGAATTAGTACAAAATGTGGTGAAGCTTGGCAACTATGGCCAATATCCTCCGTGTAAGACAATAATTTTTTGAGGGAAATCTATGTTCAGCTGTGGACTTTGCTCTTATAGGCTGTAATGAATGAATAAATGAATATGTAAACGAAGATTCGTGGTGCAGATAAGCGGCCGTACCAGTGTGCGCAGTGCCCCAAGAGCTTCACGCAGCGCGGCGCACTGGCGCTGCACGCGCGCTCTCACGCACCGCCGCAGCAGCGCGCGCTCAGCCTGCACCGCTGCCCGCGCTGCCCCAAGCTGTTCCTGTACGCGTCCGGTGAGTGCACCTGCTGCCCGCCAGCCTGCACCGCTGCCCGCGCTGCCCCAAGCTGTTCCTGTACGCGTCCGGTGAGTGCACCTGCTGCCCGCCAGCTTGTACCGCTGCCCGCGCTGCCCGAAGCTGTTCCTGTACGCGTCCGGTGAGTGCACCTGCTGCCCGCCAGCCTGCACCGCTGCCCGCGCTGCCCCAAGCTGTTGCTGTACGCGTCCGGTGAGTGCACCTGCTGCCCGCCAGCCTGCACCGCTGCCCGCGCTGCCCCAAGCTGTTCCTGTACGCGTCCGGTGAGTGCACCTGCTGCCCGCCAGCCTGCACCGCTGCCCGCGCTGCCCCAAGCTGTTCCTGTACGCGTCCGGTGAGTGCACCTGCTGCCCGCCAGCCTGCACCGCTGCCCGCGCTGCCCCAAGCTGTTCCTGTACGCGTCCGGTGAGTGCACCTGCTGCCCGCCAGCCTGCACCGCTTCCCGCGCTGCCCCAAGCTGTTCCTGTACGCGTCCGGTGAGTGCACCTGCTGCCCGCCAGCCTGCACCGCTGCCCGTGCTGCCCCAAGCTGTTCCTGTACGCGTCCGGTGAGTGCACCTGCTGCCCGCCAGCCTGCACCGCTGCCCGCGCTGCCCCAAGCTGTTCCTGTACGCGTCCGGTGAGTGCACCTGCTGCCCGCCAGTCTGCACCGCTGCCCGCGCTGCCCCAAGCTGTTGCTGTACGCGTCCGGTGAGTGCACCTGCTGCCCGCCAGCCTGCACCGCTGCCCACGCTGCCCCAAGCTGTTCCTGTACGCGTCCGGTGAGTGCACCTGCTGCCCGCCAGCCTGCACCGCTGCCCGCGCTGCCCCAAGCTGTTCCTGTACGCGTCCGGTGAGTGCACCTGCTGCCCGCCAGCCTGCACCGCTGCCCGCGCTGCCCCAAGCTGTTCCTGTACGCGTCCGGTGAGTGCACCTGCTGCCCGCCAGCCTGCACCGCTTCCCGCGCTGCCCCAAGCTGTTCCTGTACGCGTCCGGTGAGTGCACCTGCTGCCCGCCAGCCTGCACCGCTGCCCGCGCTGCCCCAAGCTGTTCCTGTACGCGTCCGGTGAGTGCACCTGCTGCCCGCCAGCCTGCACCGCTTCCCGCGTTGCCCCAAGCTGTTCCTGTACGCGTCCGGTGAGTGCACCTGCTGCCCGCCAGCCTGCACCGCTGCCCGCGCTGCCCCAAGCTGTTCCTGTACGCGTCCGGTGAGTGCACCTGCTGCCCGCGCTGCCCCAAGCTGTTCCTGTACGCGTCCGGTGAGTGCACCTGCTGCCCGCGCTGCCCCAAGCTGTTCCTGTACGCGTCCGGTGAGTGCACCTACTGCCCGCCAGCCCGCACCGCTGCCCGCGCTGCCCCAAGCTGTTCCTGTACGCGTCCGGTGAGTGCATCTACTGCCCGCCAGCCCGCACCGCTGCCCGCACTGCCCCAAGCTGTTCCTGTACGCGTCCGGTGAGTGCACCTGCTGCCCGCCAGCCTGCACCGCTGCCCGCGCTGCCCCAAGCTGTTCCTCTACGCGTCCGGTGAGTGCACCTGCTGCCCGCCAGCCTGCACCGCTGCCCGCGCTGCCCCAAGCTGTTCCTGTACGCGTCCGGTGAGTGCACCTACTGCCCGCCAGCCTGCACCGCTGCCCGCGCTGCCCCAAGCTGTTCCTGTACGCGTCCGGTGAGTGCACCTGCAGCCCGCCAGCCTGCACCGCTGTTTTTTTGTACCCCGGGTAGGAGAGATACGAAGTATCAGCGGGAGAGGACATCTGCGTCTGGGTCAGAAAGAGTAAAGCCGGCTTCACCGTCTCGAGATGATAGTGGACTGCGTTTAAGTTCGAGTGAAGTCCCCTGATGTTGTAGAAATTCACGGATACCGTGGCTGGGGTCACCTTGGTCTTGTTTCTCAGCTTGCCCCGAGTTATTACAGTTATTGTCTTGAGCGGAATTTTGCCCGTCCCCCCCCCCCCCCCCCCCCTTCCCCAACAGAATACGCGGGGCAGTCTGAGCACCGACGCTCAGGAGTGGAGTATCTTGGTTGTGGATGCTCAGCGAGGGATTCCCCAAGGGTGCTGGTACCCTCATGGGGTAGTCTTCCGTTTAATTCCGCTGCCATTTTGATGGAAGTGGGGGGGAGTTCCTCTGGCCACCTGCACTCACCAGACGAAATGCGGAAGCAGAGCTTATTTTCACGCTGGTATTTTGTGAGGTCGTGGTACCACCCCGGCTCGAGCCGGCTCATACGTGCAACAGCAAAAGCTGCCGCGTGGCTCCACCACTGATTAAAAACTTTGTGTAACGTTACAGTCATTTTCCCGTCTTGGTATTTATTCTTTTTAAGTTACGTTTCTGATATTTTGTAATTTATTTTCTAATATTTTTCATTAATTTTTACTCTTTTATGAAGCATGTTGTGGCTACCGGAAACAGGTTATACATTTAAAATTAAGTTTATAACATTTATAAACATGTTTATTGTCTTTAAATAAATAAATGAACGTATGAAGTATTAAACAACGTCCGTCGTCTGTGCGTAGGTCTGTCGCGGCACATGCCGACGCACAGCGGGCGCGTGTTTACGTGCGGCGGCTGCGCGCGCTCCTTCCGCGACAAGAGCTCGCTGCTGCGCCACCTGCGCACCGCCAGGCACGACACGTAGCACACACACACGCACACACACACACACGCACACACACACACACATACACACACACACACACACGCGCTTTATTTCGTATTTTCCTAAAACTGTAACTGTCGTAAATGAAAATACTACCACGTGGTATATTTACAGTGCTAGCTGTAACCCGCCCGCGCACTCGCCCGCTCGATCCACAGATGTGACACAATTTTCATTCTAAATTCTCGATCTAGTAATATATTATATAAAAGTCTTTAAAGGACCCATAGAACCTGTACTGTCAGCATAAACGATTGTGTTTTGATTTTACCCGGGACCTAAACTCTGTTCTTGACTTTACGCGGAGACATTCCACATAGAGGGAAATTCGTCGACTATTACTTGCCAAAGCATCCACGACACCACAAATATAATTGACTTCTTATTGATTTCTTATCTACGCGAGTGCATACTAATCAAGACTAAATACATAGAATAACAATTCTTTTACATTACTTAATTACAATTTAATACAATACAATATTAGTACTGATTTTTAAATTGCTGAAGTTTGGGGTACTTTGCGTCACTCATAGTCACGGAGGAAATAAGATGATTGACGCCCTGATGTCATAGTTAACGTGGGCAACTGTCGGCATTCAATTAATAATATTTGGTCCTATCTACACGGTAATAAAAAAATAAAACAATAGCATAATTAAACGTCATAAAATTTAGTAAAATTTGCTCTATTCAATAATTTTTTTTTTGTGTACAATTAAGATACATTTAAAAATATCAAACAACAACGAACAGCAAGTGGCAGTATATCCGTTTGATAAGCCTAACTCAAGTCCCATGGCTAGTGAGTGATCGGTGCGGTGCACCTTCACTACAGCAATAGCGCCTACCAGCGTGGTGAGTTTTGGTCATTGATAACACGTTCCAATATCTATGGTTTTGGTAAATCTTTTCAGTTTAATAGCCCATATCCGGCAATGTGCTATAAAAGGCTGTTAAAGAAGAATCTTACAAGAATATAGAATATAATTTAGCTCATAGATAACACTCAAGACGTTCTAACACTTAAGTTAATAAAATGTATATTATTTATTCAAAAGAAATCATTTATTAAGTTGTATGAATCGTGAAATACAATAATTTTAATGAACATAATATATTTCTTATTTTACCTTCCTCCATTTAACTGTTGTCATGTTACCTTATAACTTATTAAACCCAAAAATCCACTGCTATGCATAGGCCTCCCTCATAGATTACTTCATAGGGGGGGTATTTGCCACGTTTGGCAAGCGGGTTGGCAATCGCATTATTTATTTTTAGTCGTTATTAGGAAGATGCTGCTGCCCATCTTCCCTTTGTTGCCTCTTACGACACCCACGGGATAATATGGGGTAATGGATAATCTTACACCGTCACTACATGTTCTCTAATCGTCGGTCAATAACTGTACACTTATACATTATTTCAAACTAATTTAGGAATACGTGACGAGATGTGTCGTCATCTCTCACGTACATATTTTTTAAAACTTAAAACGAGTACAACCAGTGCTTTTTGCCAGTGTTGACATAATATGGAACTTAGACGTGGTCCTTCACTGCTGGCCGTATAAGGTCTTAAAGCTTAAGATCGTTCAGCGTGCTATGGAGAGGGCTAAGCTCGGAGTTTCTTTGCGAGATAGAATTCGTAATAAATATCCTTATTAGAACTCTAGTAGCCGCCATTGTTCAACGGGTGAGTAAGTTGAAATGGCAATGTAAGGATGGGCAAATTAACAAAAAATATCGATATTTTTAACAGTATTGATAAATATCGATATATCGTCATGACGTTGGCCCAAAGTTTTATGACTTGACGGTTGGGCGATGAAAAAAAAACAGCACATGAATGCTTTTTTTACTTAACCAATTCGTTGCGACACCAATTTTTGATAACCTTTAGCTGTGACGGTGAACAAATATTTTGTGACACTCCTGTCGTGTCAAGGGGCCGTCAGCCATGTATAAAAATATTGTTCTTTTTTATGCTTTTTTCACTTGTTTAGATGTGATTAAGTTTAGTTGACATCAAACTTCAGTTGCGGACGGAAGGATACGTTTTACTGGCTAACTACGTGTTTTTCTATGTTTTCCTTGAAATGAAGACTAAGTGACTCTATGTAGATTAAAATGCTTTGGTACTATTTTTCGTATTATAAAAAAACTTTTATATAAGTATGTACAGTTAAATCACCCAGAAAAACCTTGGTTTTTAATAAATTAAAGAACATCGGTCAAATACGACCCGACCAAAATATGAAACGACCACCAATGATTGATACGTCAAAAAATAGTTAACTTAAGTGTATATTAAATTACGGGGTCCAACTTATTTTATTGGAGCCGGTAAAATAATTTAGCTATGTAATGAAAAACCTCATTTCCTTATTACTTTTTATAGGTTTTGAACGCTTCTAAACCCGTCCCGTTTTTATCTGTGGCGCATGTTTCATCATAACACTAAAACAACACTACCATTATGCGTTTACTTTTTTTAAATTCTACATTTTATTGTAGATTTTTTGTTTATTTTTGTAGCGTATTATTAATAATATCATTTTTAGATGGGGATATGGTAAGTATTCCGAAATAAGTTGCAAATGAGCTCTATAACGATAGCAGTGAAAAGTCAGTAGAAACATAAAAATTGCATCCAGGAATTTGTAGCTAATTTGTTGCTAATTAGTTACCAAAATAGCGATTTTGTTGCTCCAACCGGTTTTGAGTAAATTGAATTACTGCTATCTTTACATAAAGATAGCAGTAAAAACTTTCAATCAACCCCGCCGTAGCGGATAAAACGGGATAATTTGTTGCTGACATATAATGCAAAAAATATTTAAAAAAATTTAAAATAAAAGAAATAAAAAAACCTCAAAAATTAATAAAAATCAATTAATGTTTTGATACTGATTCTGAAGTTCCAAATTAATTAAAATATTGCTGCTAATTAATAAATAAATCAATAGCTCCCAGACAGCCTACAACATCATAAAATCGGTCGAAAAGCTGTATCAAGTTACAAATAAATGTGTACATGCTGCCTATACGGGAGATTCAAAAACAGAACAACAGATATATTGTTGCTGTTCAGTTATGAAAGCATAAAGAGCCAGCAAAAAAATAAAATAGATCGATAAGCTGCACCAAGTAATAAGTTAATAATTATATGTGTACAAGCTATATCATGAAAATTTTAGGATAATATAACATGGTGCAACTTATCGATCTATTTTATTTTGTTGCTGGTTCTTCATGAGTTGCTGCTTCCGTTACTGACCAGCAACAAAATATCTACTATCTGTTTTCCTATAATTTTCATGTAAATATAGCTCGTACACAAATAATTATTAACTTATTACTTGGTGCAGCTTATCGATCAATTTTATTTTGTTGCTGGCTCTTAGGACTTGCTGCTTCAATTAGTGGCTAGCAACAAAATATCTGTTATATTTTTTCCTAAAATTTTCATTTAAATATAGCATGTACACAAATAATTTCTAATTAATAACGTAATGCAACTTGTCGATCAATTTTATTTTTGCTGGCTCTATGAGTTCCTGCTTCCGTTACTGACCAGCAACAAAATATCTGCTACCTTTTTTTCTAAAATTTTAATATAAATATAGCATGTACACAAATTATTATTAACTTATTACTTAGTGCAGCTTATCCATCTATTTTATTTTGTTGCTGGCTCTTTATGACTTGCTGCTTCAATTACTGGCTAGCAAAAAAATATCTGCTAACTTTTTTCCTAAAATTTTCATAAAAATATAACTTTTAAACAAATAATTTCTAACTAATAACGTGGTGCAACATATCGATCTATTTTATTTTTTCTGACTCTTTATAACTTGCTGCATCCATTACTAGCAACAAAATATCTGCTATATTTTTCCTAAAACTTTCATAAAAATATAACTTGTAAATAAAATTACTAACTTAATACTTGGTGCAGTTTATTGATCGATTTTACTTTGTTGCTGGTTCTTTGTGACATATTGCTTCCATTACTGACCAGCAACAAAATATCTGCTATATATTTTTTTAAATTTTCATGATATAGCTTGTACATATATAATTATTAACTTATTACTTAGTGCTGCTTATCGATCTATTTTATTTTGTTGCTGGCTCTTTATGCTTTCATAACTGAACAGCAACAATATATCTGTTGTTCTGTTTTTGAATCTCCCGTATAGGCAGTATGTACACATTTATTTGTAACTTATTACTTGATACAGCTTTTCGACCGATATTATGATGTTGTAGGCTGTCCGGGAGTTATTGATCTATTTTTTAATTAGCAGCAAAATTTTCATTAATTTGGAACTTCAGAATCAGTATCAAAACATAAATTGATTTTTATTAATTTTTGATGTGTTTATTTTTTTATTTTTTTTTAAATATTTTTTGCATTATTAGCCAGCAGCTGGCCGACTTCATGGAGAAAGAGGGACTCTTTATGATGAACTCTTTCTTCCAGAAGCGGCCTCACAGGAAGTGGACCTGGTCGAGCCCCGACGGTTCGACAAAAAATGAAATTGACTTCATTATGACGACCAGACGACAACTGTTCAGTGATGTCTCAGTGATCGCGAGGGTGAAAACCAGCAGCGATCACCGAATGGTTAGAGGCACACTGAACCTAAACGTTAAGTTGGAGAGGTCTCGTCTGATGAAGTCAACGCTCCGTTCCCCTCGTGCTCTAATCCAAAATCCCGAAACCTTTCAGCTCGAGTTACAAAACGGTTTTCAGTGCCTAGAAGACTGCAATGAAGTGGACGATATGAATGACAAGGTCGTGGAAACTGTCCATACGGTCGGAGCTAAGTTCTGCAAGACCCGCCGCAGAAGAACACAAAAACTCTCTGATCACACTCTTAATCTCATGGCTGTTAGACGGGAGATGAAGCTACATTCTTCAACAGATTTGACAGCATACAGGCAATTGAACAGACAGATCTCCAAATGCATGCGGCGGGACTTACGCAACTTCAATACAGCTCGTATTGAAGAAGCGATCGAGCGGAACCAAGACTCCAAAATCTTTGCCAGAGATCTGTCTGTCAGAAAGAGCCAACTGTCAGAGCTGAAGACAGAATGTGGCAGCATCGTTTCCGGGGCATCTGAGATTTTGAGTGAGATTGAGAGGTTCTATGGGCAGCTGTACACGTCATCGTTGGAGCCACACTCGAGTGGGAGTAACGATCCAAGAGCGAGTCTTATCCGACATTATTCCGATGATATCCCGGACGTCAGTCTGAGCGAGATTAGAATGGCTCTCCAGCACCTATAAAACGGCAAGGCCTCAGGCGAGGATGGAATTACAGCGGAGCTTCTGAAAGCGGGTGGAAAACCGGTACTTGAAGTCCTTCCGAAGCTCTTTAATTCCGTCCTCCATGATGGCATTACACCGGAGGCGTGGAGCAGAAGTGCGGTGGTCTTGTTCTTCAAGAAAGGCGACAACGCTCTCTTGAAGAATCTCAGACCGATTTCCCTTCTGAGCCGCGTCTACGTGCTGTTTTCGAGAGTCATTACGAATCGTCTCGCGCGCAGACTTGACGACTTCCAGCCTCCCGAACAAGCCGGTTTCCGAAAAGGCTTTAGCACCATAGACCACATACATACCCTTCGGCAAATTGTACAAAAGTCAGAGGAGTACAATTTGCTACTATGTCTGGCGTATGTGGCCTACGAGAAAGCCTTTGATTCCGTCGAAATTCGGGCGGTGCTGCAGTCCCTTCAGCGGTGCCAAGTGGACTGTCGGTATATCGAAGTGCTGAAGTGCTTGTACAGTAGGGCTATGATGGCTATCCGAGTACAGAACCAGAATGCGGAAGCTATCCAATTGCAGAGAGGTGTAAGACAGGGTGACGTCATATCCCCGAAACTTTTCACCGCTGCATTGGAAGACATTTTCAAGCTTCTGGACTGGAAAGGATACGGTATCAACATCAATGGCGAGTGCATCACTCACCTTCAATTTGCCGACGATATAGTCCTTATGGCAGAATCGCTGGAGGACCTAATGCTCAATGACCTCAATAGTGCTTCCCAACGGATAGGTCTTAAGATGAAAATGGACAAAACAAAGATCATGTTTAAT